TGGAGAACTCTTCATGGAACGATGTCTACATCTTTCCAACCCAGAGCATCCAGTACAGAGCCGCTGTCCATCGATGGGGAGATGGACATGAGCCTGTTTCCAAACGCCACAGGAGGGCTGCTGCCTAGCAACGCTCTCTCTAGAGGTGCCGATCACAAAAGAGTATGGCTCAGGGACTGAGCAACCCGGACTTAAACCATCTCTCTGCCCCATCTTAGCCGTGTGGCCTTGGGCAGCTTAATTAGTGTCTCTGAGCCTCAATGTCTTCATCTGAGAGCAATGATAATATCTACTTTTCTTTTTTTTTTTTTTTCTGCCGTCCCAGTTTTTATTTTTATTTTTTTGATTATACATATTTTAGGAGTACAACGTTGACTACCATCACCTGTGTACATGCATTGATCAAACCAATATTATCAGCATGTTCATTATTACAAACTGTAATTATTCTTTAGTCCCCTCACCCAGTCTCTCCCCACCCTCTGCTCCCTCCCCGCCCCCCACCTCTAATAACCATAAATTTGTTCTCTCCTTCTGAAAGACCAACATATTTTTGTGATCCTTCCTTCCTTTCTCCCTTCCCTCCTTCCTTCCTTCTTTGCCCCCACTTATGAGTGAGGACATACATGGTATCTCTCTTTCTGTGTCAGGCTTACTTCACTTAATGTAATTTTCTCCAAGTTCATCCACGCAGCTGATAGTATCTACTTTAGGGTTATTGTAAGGACCGAATGACTTGGTAAAGTCGAAGCACTCACAGCCATGGGGATCAGTAAATACCAGCTATTGTGAGTCCAGCAACGGGAGCTCATGTTTATCTCTATCAACCACTGGTTTGGGGAGTTAATCCTCAGGAGCCAGCCCGGCTTCCAGGTGTCTGGTGTTCCCTGGGGAAGGCACTCTGTGTGCGTCTCTAAGAGGAAAAAGGCCAGCGTGGCTGGTCAGGTTGACTACGGGCATCTTTGAATGGCAGGTACTGGAATCTGACCCATTTCTCCTGGCAGCTGGAAAACACCCCAGTTTTCTGAGAAAAAATAAGTCATCACCAGATGTGAACTTTAGAAAAACATCAAAATAGATGCCACGTGACAAGGAAGGGCAGGTACGGCACGAAGGTGGGGGCAACAGTTAGAGAGTCTCTGCCACAATTTCTGCAAGAGGAACGTGGGACCTCAACAAGCACCGTGGTTCATAACATCTCTGCCAAGGACAGCCCTGGGCACAGAAGGCCGTGGGAGGGAATCTCAAGGCCAGCTGGGAGATGCCAGGTCAGGGATGCCACCTCCACATGGGGCGGAGCAGAGAGCAGAGCCAGAGGGCAGTGGCTACAGGGACATTCCCACAAGGCAGGAGGGGGAGAGAGAGGCTGACAGCAAAGAAGGCTCCCAGAGCATCTGCTGAATTTTCAGAACACGTGGGCCAGTTGCCCACACAGGGGGATGGGGCAACATGAGGTGAGGACAGATTATCCGAAAGTGAGAGGAGTGATGGATGGAGCAGGGTCCCAGAAAAAGAGGTGGAGAGAGGCCCCAGTGCAGGAGGAAAGCTAGCTGCAGCCATACGGCAGCTTCACTTCCACAGGGACAGACGTCAGATGCCTGCTCAGTGCAGCAGACAGGGCAGTGTCATTTGCTGAGGGGTGTGGGGCGGTGGGGACTAAGCCTGGAGCCTGAGGGGCTGCCGGAAGTCAATGCTAGGCTAAATTCAACAGGAGTTTTTTTAAAGGAAGGATTTGAGTAAAATGGTATAGTGCTGTGGAAAAGAGTTTGGTGAGTCCTCAGAAACTGAAACATATAATTACCATGTGACCCAGCAAATGCACTTCTAAGAATATACCCAGGAGAACTGGGTACTTAAATGAGGCTCCTGGGCAGTCACATTTGGAGAAACAGAAAGCAGAACAGTGGTCACGAGCAACTGAGGAGTTACTGCTTAGTGGGTATGGAGTTTCAGGTTGGAAACACACACAGGGTCCTGGAGATGGACAGTGGTGACAGAAGGTTGCACAACAGTGTAAAAATGTGCTTAGTGCCACAGACTGTACACTTAAGAACTGTTAAAATGGTAAATTTCGTGTTATTTTACAATAATTTTTTTTTTAAAGAGTTTGGCTGCAGCCCTGAGGTTGGAGGGCACTAACTGAGGGGCCATAAAGCAGCACACGGATAAGTCTGCCTCCAGGGACACCTGGACATTGCAGAGCAGGCGCCGGGAAGGGAAGGTGACCAGAGGCAGCTGCCTGGCAGACGGAGACAGGCAGGCTGGTCCACACACCCCTGGAGTTTCCTCTCCCGTTAACATGAAAACTTGCCCAAATGTTCTCCCACTTGCGTTTTCTCCCTTAAATGAAATGACCTTTGTAGAAATCTTGTCACTAAATCAAATGGAAAATGGTACGTTGAAAACTAGTTTGAGGCCATATTTACCCCGCAGTAAACTAGTATCTGAAACTGCTCTTGCTCTCGCTGCACTGAGACGTAAAATCCCATGGCTGACTCTAATCTGCAGAGTGGGGTGATGTGGGGGGCTCAGTTCTGACAAGGTAGAGGACAGGGTTGGGCTCTCGTAGATGGGCAGAGAACCTCTACCCAGTCACCCAGAATAACTCCACGAAGGCATGAGGTACGCTGACCTCCAGCTCACAAACACAGTCGTGCAGAGGATTCCCAAATCAAAACCACCAACAAGGGGCACGCTTCATTAAAGAACATTTAAGCACTAATAAACGAGACTGTCTGAAAAATACTTTATCCACGTAAGATGGTTCATGACTGAATTTCCCTTTCAACACAGCAAAACTGAAAGGGTCAAAACGAAACGAAAACAAGGGTCCCATGATGAGAATCCTTAAATCCTCGATGTTGAGAGAGCGCCTATTGCGAAATGATACGACACCAAATTAGCAGCCAGGGAGGCAGCATGCCAAATACACCCCGTGCATCTGTCTTGCAGAAGTGAGCTTTGCAGCAGCGCACAAACATCACTGAATTCACTGTGTCTTATAATAAGACACCCACTGAAGAAAGGTCTTTCCGTTCTCCAACACTAAATAATTTGACTTCAAGGGAGGTAGGCAGACACAAGTCAAGCCCAATCAAATTTAATAATGTTAGAATATATTTAATCTAAAATTACTTATAGGCTCAAAACTTCCTGTAATTTTTACCTATTCTTATACTACATGCATCTGTTTTTCTAAACTGCCACAGAATTCAGAAGTAAATGTGCCAAACACATTGCTAATTTTAACCCTGGAACAATAAGGCAGCTTTAAGCATTATCAAGTTACCAAAATAATTAACCTAAAACTTTAATAATACATGCACCACATAGCTTTCTCTTCAGATAACCAATTTTTATAACAAAATTACGTAAAGATCAAGAAGTTACAGTGAAGAATCCAGTAGCTCTCCCAGATAGCTGCACCCGAGAGAGGAAAGGAAGCCCTGATTCTATCCATGTTTAGTTATGCTGGTCCCTGTGGTCACAGCAACCATGAGATATGTCAGAGCACACATACATCTATGTTCCAGAGTGTACTGCAGAGCTTTACAACTGGCATATGACTCACCCACAACATTTATAAGACAAGAGCCATAAGGATGTTTTCTGAAATTACATATTAAAAGAAGAAAGTAAGAACAGAGATGTCTACAATGAGCAGTGAAGTGAAAGCTACAAGGTAATCGTTTGGGAGATTTCTGTTCTTTAAAGAAATTGGTGCCAGCAGCAAACTGCAAACAGCACAGCTCCTTCTGCAATAAGTCAGCCCCACGGAAACCGCCATTACTGGGATGCCCAGAGTGCAAGGGTCCTGGCTGCTCCACGCCATCCTGGGCTGCTCCACGAGCACTCCCATGCTCTGACTCCTGGCACCTCTATGCCATTGAGTGTCCTGAAGAACACTCAGACCTCAGGTGAGCAGGAGGCATCTTTCTTCCAAAGGACAACAGGGTGATACCAGTAATGAAAGGTGGGGAGGAGAATAGGACATGGGAACGCTCTTCTGCAGAGGCAAAGATGTGCTGAAGGACAAGGTGACACCATTTCCAGGGCATGGCCTGAGGTCTGACACATGCCTGAGGGACAACTAGCCTCTGCCTCCCACATCGTCTCAGACATCGAGTACCCAGATGATTTAGAAATAAAACACAATTCTCATCAATTCCCCCACATTGAAATAAGTAAATTCAGAACTTCTCTTTGCCAAGGAGCAAAGAGATAAGCAATGAAAATATTTAAGAGCACCTAGGGAGGAAGGAAAAAGAATTTCATTACATACAGAGTGTGGTTATATTCACCACAAAAGAGACTTCTGGGCCTCCTGCTCAAGCACGGGCTGTGCAAATGTACAGCCCCTTCTCGCGCCCTGCACAGGAGCCCACCATGGAAACGTCCACCCTGAGCACGGACAGCCAGCGCCTACCTTCACCCTGACCGTCTGGTCAGACAGGCTGCTCATCATGTCGTTGATGGATCGGAACAGCTGCAGCAGAGACTCCACGAAGTCAGCCTCTCCTTTGTTTTCATATAGTCTGCAAAGAAACACACTACACTGAGGGGTCTGGCTTCATATAGTCTGCAAAGAAACACACTACACTGAGGGGTCTGGCAGAAAACCCTCCACTCTTTCTGATCATGCACCTACAGCCATGAAGGGAGCTGCTTGGGTGACATTTTAGCATGTGAGGCCATTTCCTCGACATCTATGAAACATGGAGGGCAATTAGATCAATGCAGATCACTCAACTACAGAGCTATGCCTCCACATTAAAGACACTGATTCTTAACGATGCTATTTATTGCTTTTGCCACCACAACAGAATACATTGTGTAAGTCTGAATAAGGTGGAACATGTACAGAAATATACAGGAGGAATTGAGGGAGGAAGCGACAAAGACAGGAAGAGAAGGAGGAAATTCAGCTTTAATCCCACCCCACAGAATTAACACTATTAATGTTTTGGTGTGTTTTCTGTAAGTGTTTTTAAACCCATAACGTCACATAATTGACAATCGCAAAGACATCACACTTAATTGCCTAAATTCAACATGATCTAATAACCACTGAAAATGACATTACAGCAGTACGTTCAAAATTACATTATTTCAGAGTAATGATACTACACAAATTCATTCATCTTAGAATCTGTGGTAACTGGAAAATTTTCAAGAGGTGGAGTACATTCAATAAGTGGATAACAATGAGGTTGTAAACTGGTTACCTGTATGCTAATATATTTTGCTAATTATAATATGAGGGGTATTCAAAAAGTTCATGGAAAGATTCATATTATCTTTTAATTCTATGTTTCCATAAACTTTCTGAAGTAGCCTCATAAGTTTCATCTATAAATTATTTATTAGCAGTTACTTCAAGTTGTTGTGTTACTAAAAATCAACACACTTGCATTTTAAAATACTGTATCTCAGATGTTTTATTAATACAGACTAGTTTTCTGTCTAATTAAAAGCATACCCTACCTGAAAACTTGTGTACAATGGAAAATTTTGTAAACTAAGTGATAATTAATTACCCCAGAGGTAATCTTGTATTCAAATGAGCTCCACTGTAAAACAACAAATTCTGTGTAAAATGGGAAATTGCAACCTAGTGTATCTGTTTTGTAAATAAGGGTTTTCAAATTGGGGTTTGCTTAAATGGTGTACCAAACAAAACTACGGAGTCATGACCTCCTGCATACGGGTGGCATGGAGACCTTTTGGCAACTGGTACAGACACAGGGAGGCTTCAAGCATGTCCTCATTTCTCCCCTCAGGACAGCTGCCAGTTCCTCGAACTGGAACTGCATGAGGTGGAAGACTAAAAAACAACATGAAAACCCCTATAAAGCAGAATGGAATTTTTATCAGTCTTCAGAGAAAAAGGGCTGGAGTTGGAAATTGCCAGGGAGAAGGGCCCAGGTAACACAGCAGACTCTGAGATGAAAACCCTGGAGAGGCCAGGGGCAAATTCAATGGGGACTAAGGCTTACCAGGCTACAACAAAGCCTTGACTATGTACAGTCTCTGATCAGAGTAAGGTGGTCAGCCCCACTTTCTCTGCCTAGAAGCACAGGTTAATTACCTCTGGAAGAAAGTCACATCATCTGGAGTTTCTATCTACAGTTTTACATATATGAGAGGTCTTTGAAAAGTTCATGGAAAGATTTGTATTATCTTTAATTCTATTTTTCCATGAACTCTTTGAAGTACCCTTATACACAGTCCTGCCTCCAAACAAAAATTACTAAACTCAGCAAAAAACCAGACCACATGGCCAAATCAAAGAAAAAAAGAGGACAAAAGAAATAGATCCACAGGTGACCAGGATATTGTAGTTAGCTAACTAGAACATCGAAATACTATAACTAGTAATTTTAAAACAGAGAAAATAGAAAGATGGAAAATAAAAAGATGGAGAAAATAAAAGGTATGGTGAAGAATTTTAGTAGAGAAATAAACTTACAAAAAGAATCAAATGGAAATTCCAAAACTAAAAAATATTATATCTAAAACTAAGAATGTATTATATGGGTTAACTAGAGAGTAGAAGACACAGCAAGAGACAGAATTAGAAAAATGGAAGACTCCACAGAAAAACAACTAAACAGAAGTATAGAGGAGGAAAATGCAAAAAATAGTGCTGGGGATATACAGATACAATGAATAGGTCTAATATCCATGTAACTGAAGTGCAGAAGAAGAGGGAGCTAATGGGGCAAATGCAACATTAGAATACATAATGGCCATGAATTTTCCAAAACTGATGAAAGACACCAATCCAAAAATCCAAAAATCCAATGTAGGGCAAAAAAAAAGCAAAGCATTTCTATGCAACCCACAGCCATAGTAAGACTGCTAATAATCACAGAGGGAAGAAAAAAAACAACAACAACTGTAAAAGCAGCCAGAGGGAAAAAAGATGCCCTTTACCTTCAAAGATTAACAGTAAGTCCGAAAGCTGACTTCTCACCAGAAATGATGAAAACCAAAATAGAATGGAATAACTAACATCTGGAGGAGGATAATAACTGCCAACCTAGTATACCACATTAAATGAAAATATCCTTCAAACACAAAGATAAAATAAATCATCTTCACGCAAGCAAAGACTATAGATGACCTACACTAAATGAAATTCTACAGGGAGTTCTTGGGACTCAGAACAAAATAAGAAGTTAAAGGAAGGATAAAAACAATCATAAATATAAAACATATTGAATGAATACTGACCTACAAAATAGTGTAATGTCTTATGGAGTTTAAAATATAAGTAGATCTGAAATGCATGACAATAACAACACAAAAGATAGGAGGAAGTAAATGGAGTTAGAGTGCTCTACTTTTCTAGCCATGTCTATGTCTAGCATTATAAGGAGAGTAGTAACAGTAATAATCTGAATTACTTATTATAAAGTCCAACACACATGTTACCGTCACTAGGACAATCATTAAAAGAATGGTAGAAAAATGTTTAACAGACATGTTAAGAGAGCAGAAAATGGGCTGATAAAATGCAGTCTGATTGGTACGAAGGCTAAAAAGGAGGAAAAGGGAAATGTACAAATCAGTAAAAGAGAAAGTTAATAGGAAGATGATAGATATTAACCCAAAATATTACTTAATTATATTATATGTAAATGAATAAAATACTCAATTGCTAGACTGGATAAAATAAAAATACAGCTATATGCTGCTTATAAAGAGATAGACCTTAAACATAAAGAAACAGAAAAGGTGAAAATAAAATAATAGAAAAAGGTATTCCGGGCCGGCCCGGTGGCACACTGCTACAGTGCGCCGCTTGGGAAGTGCAGTGGCGCTCCCGCCGAGGGTTTGGATCCCACATACAGACCAGCCGCTCACTGGCTGAGCGAGGTGCGGGAGCAACACCAAGGGTTGCGATCCCGTAGCCGGTCCCGGTCCGGTATGGGCGCGACACTGAGGGTTGCGATCCGTTGCCGGGCACGAAAAAAGACAAAAAGGAAAAAAAAAAAAAAAAAGAAAAAGAAAAAGGTATTCCATGCAAACATGAACCAAAAGATAAACTTTTCAAATTAATTAAGAAGTAAATCCACAAGAAAGACATAACAATTATAAATCTGTATGCTCTGAATAACACAGATTCATAATCTATAAAGCATAATTAATGAGGCTTTAATATTTTTTTAAATTTTACCAAGAACTTCTCAAGGATGAAAATTTAATCATCAGTTTTTCTACTGTCAACCAACATGTTTAGAACATATAAAGAGTTAGCATTTTAAAGCAATCCCTTTGAAGCACCTTTCAGTAATGAAAGATCACTGGGAAGTCTCTGAAATCTCATCTCTTGGTTTTATCAAATAAACCAGGAAGAATCACTTGTTTGACCTACCTTGAGATGGAGTAAGGGCTGGGAAGAAAGAACTCAAGAACATATTGATAAATAAATAGATGAATAAACCTACTCATTCCTTGGCCTATTTAAATAAGTATTCATTACCAAGGATGACAGGGTCTTTGTATATTAACTACATTGTATTTTGTGGCCCAGGGAATGATAGCAAAAAGACAGATCTGCACAACTTATTCATGATCAATAACTAATTATTCACAAAGCTAACACCAGATGACAGGCAAAACTCTACAAAGCACAGGAAAGACAGAAAAAGAGCCAAGCAATAACTAGATTTAGTCATTTGATTCAGAAGCTATGGTGCAGGACGTGTCTGTTTTCTGGCTCTCTAGTTAATGTCATCCGCCCACACAGAAAACACAGACAAACAAAAACCAGAGAAGTGCCCCTGGCTGTCAAGAATCTTTCAGTGGGTTCTCCAGGAACCAAACGTCTTTGGGCCAGAGCTTTTAAACTGCTGTTCTCATCTCAAAACAACATGAGCCTTGTAAACAAAACCAAAAGTATGAAATTGCATAGCAAGAAAGAGAGTAAGATAACAGTGATAAGCTTCAATATCTTCATCTCCAAAGTTCACCTCTTTATTCTTTGGAAGAATAATTACTGTCAATTATCCTAGAATTTAGCAAAGCTACTGCATTACATTAAAAACACAGCAGACCATTCTGAAAGAAAAGGAAAAACAAGACATCTCGAAAGTTTATTCCAACTGCAAAAAGAAAAGCACACTTGTCAATTCCAGCTGGGAGCACGATTGTTTTTCGCCCAAGGTAATAAATGTGTTGCAGGTAAGAAAATGAGAGCCCTAGTTTGTCTTCTTCCCCATCTCTGAAAACACCACACATACCTGCTTCGAGCTAGTTACAGATCACACATTCTAGACATCTGTGTGGGACATGAGACTGCTAAGTAGACTATACAAAATAGGAACATCATTTCATCTAAAATTAAGCCTTCCATATGACAGAGAAAGAAACAACTAAATGTTATGGTAGGACAACAGGGAGGGAGGGTCAGGAGGACAGCAAGGCAGGGGAGCACTAAAGGACTTCAGCCCTACTGCCCATGACAGTAAGGTCGGGGAATTTTTCCTACCATAAAACTGTAAGATGCTAAAACACCTTCTCGACAGCTTTCGACTACAGATTTAAATTGAAGAAGTGGGGGCTGGCCGGTTAGCACAAGTGTTAGAGCACAGTGTTGTAACATCACAGTTGAGGGTTTGGAACCCATGCTGGCCAGCTGCCATAAATAAATGCATAGATAGATAGGTAGAGAACAACTAACGCTTATTAAAAAATAAATAAATTTAAGAAGTATTTATCATATCCACACAAAGGGGCTACAACTGTGTTCTACATTTTGTCAACAAAATGTTATATTCTCTCCTCAAGAATCGTAGAAGGTAGCCAAGAGCCACATTTAGGAAATATTTAGAGAGAAAAAAAATACGGTCAATAAACTATTAAAGTCTAGGATACAGTCGGGGCTCAGAAGTTCAGTATTTATGGAAGAAGGAAGGGGCAAAGAAGGGAGGGAAGAGAAGGAGAGAGGGACGGAGAGGAGGATGAGACCGTCGACAGCACCATGATGACTGCAGCATCTGGATGGGTAAGGTCAGAGAGGTCCAGACAAGGCCCCAGGGAGGCTCAGGAAGCCTTTCTGCCTTTTAGCAATTGCTGCTCCTTGGCTTCTGACCACTGCATGTCCTCGATGGTCTCAGCTCTTTTGACAAACAAGTTATCCCAGCAAAGAAACTCAATTTGGAATCAGGCACAGCTCTTGCTGGGTCCACATCAAGACAAAGGCAGTCAAAGAGATAGGGGCCTGTACCATGTTGCCAAGCACCAGAATGAAGGCACTTTTGAGATGTATGTTTTCAATGAACACATACACCTCCTGGGTCATGGGCAAGGGTCGGCTGAGTATACTGCCCCATTTCTACATAACCTGGTAGAACTGTGTCCCATCTATGGATCGCTTAGGACTCCAATGACTTAAAACCAAAGAGGTACTGGTGACAGGAGTCTCAGAGACTGACCCCCAAGATAGAAGGCAAGAAAAGCCTCTGCAGAGCCTACTTAAGTAGGATTTAGTAACCAGGAAAGAGGTAACAGACATTCTGGGTTAAAAGTATGGGGAAAAGAATGTGAACTGCCTACCCATTATGTATCTCTCCCTTACTCCTTTTCCAAAAGAACCCCAATTTTGTTGAAAGCATCAATAAGCCCATCTAAAAATCCTCTTCCGCCTCCCTTGCATGCACGTAGGTGGCCACAGTTCCAGCCAATGAGGCAAAAATACACGACACTGTAGGGATGGGGGAGCTGTCTCACAGGACAGTGGATGGCACGGCTCCTTCCTTGTCTTCCCTGCTCCTCCACCTGGAATACAGATGTGATGCCAAGAGGAGCAGGAGCCACCGTGGCACCATGAGGTAAGGAGACAGGCCCTAAGGATGGTGGGGCAGAAGGACATCTGGGAGCAAGTGCATGAGTTCTGGATTCTTCCCCTGGGCTCTGTGTTGTGTGGGGGACGGAAAGGTGAACCTCATCTGGTTAAGCCACTTACATTGGAATTTTCTGTTACACGCAGCCAATCATATTCCTAACCCCTATAAGACTGATCAAGCTAAATAAAGTTAATGACCCATGGTTCTAAGATCTTATGCCATTCACATTTTAAAATTTAAAGAGATTAAAGAGAGAAAAAGAGAAATAATTTACTACTGGTCCGCCAGGGTGACCTCCATTTTTTCTAAAGCAGCATTATCATGAAAAAGATTACAGCATTTAGTACGACAGCAGAAAAACACCAATGATCAATGCACGTGTCTTTTAATTATGAGTCTCTGAATAAAATGGAAAGTCAGCAGTGTATTTACAGAGGAGACACGCCTCATCAAACCCCTGCCTCAATGGCATATTTATCACAAACTGCAGAGATTAAAAGTTTTTCAAATAAAACACAATAAAATCTGTATCACCTGACTGTTGCCTTCAAGTTCATCCTACCCCCTTATTGCAGATTTTGGTCTGGAGTAATCACAGACTTAAAATCAGTGGGGAAAACACACACGAGCAAGACAGAGGGTGCCAAGAAGTTCATTTTCATAAAATAATTTTATTGAAATAACATCAAACAAAATATAGGAAATCAAAACCTAGTTTAGCTTGTTTTTCACACTTAATAGTGTGAAAATCATTGATGGCTTTCCACCCTTAAGAAAAGAGAAAGCTCCAGTCCACAACAGGGTCATGACTATCCATATAAATAAAATAAAAGAATGAGCCTGTGATAGCTCAGTCAAGGATACAAAAGCACGATGCCCTCAAATGTTGGGTCTTCATGTGTAAAAACGGCAGCATAGAGGCTGGTTTTAATTGTGGGAACCCCAGAGTGGACATAAACACACTCAGTTCTTTGACTGGGAACAGGGGGCTACGACCCTTGGGTCGGTCAGTGGTGTTTACCAACTGGTTTGTGACGTGTGTAGGTCCACACTCAGCCAGTAACTTGCTGCTCTGGCTTTATATGTATCACAGTATACGTAAGATTGAATTTTGAGTTCTTTCCCTTTCTCCTGGGCCCTTCTGGACACATCTGCTTCAGGCAAATAAAAATAAAGTGAAAATAGGAAGCTGCTGATTTGGGTCCACACTTTTCAATTACCAACTTTCACTAATTAGAGATAATTCAGAGGGACCTTGGTTCATGAATTCCATCTCTGTGTCTAAAACTCACTACAGGAACAACGTCCACCTAAAATGACCAACAACCACCAACATCACTCCTGGTAGGTCACCCACAAAGTAGCCATCCTCCAAAAGAAACAAGCGGAGTGATCGATGTCAACACCCCAATGCACAACGCACCCCCTTTTCACGTCTCTTCAATCATAGAGTGAAATGTCATGGGCCGACAGAAAGCTTTTTTATTTTAGCACAGTTCTTAATCTGTATATAAACCTAGAAAAAATATGAATGTTCTCTGTGAAATAATGAAGTCATAAATGCCCCAATTTACTTTAAAGTTCAAAAATAATTCATACGTTCATCCAGACTGCATATGAAAGTGTCACTAAGCTTAAGTACCCGAAGGTCCTTTTGCAAGTGTCACTAAGCTTCAATACCCGAAAGTCCTTTTGCATGGAAACTTCATATGTGGAGATGCGTCTCTGGAACTAAAACGTCATTCTGGCTGTGGGAAAGAGAGGAAGGACGTCCCAGAGTCTCCCCAAAGAGGCCACTTAAATTGACTTTGGTTTTTCCTCATCGTTGTTTGTTTGTTATTTTATTTGTCCTTGTTCTGTTAGGGCTTTTTGCTAGATGAAGATACACTGAAAAGAGCTTCAGAGCCTGCAGTAGATACCTGGGTACCACACGTGAAGCATCACGAATGTCTGACTTACACGCACACAGTTCAGACCCGGGAACAGTGCACTCCCTTGTCGGCGTCTGCATGTGACACACAGGGCACAGTCGAGGCAAGAATGAACTGCCCCACCCAGTGTTGCTAGGATTCGCACTTCTCTCGTGCTCAACAGCAAGGAAAGAAGGCAGGCAGAGGAAGGGAAAAACAGAGGGGGAGAGAAGGGGAAAGAGGAGGAGGAAGTAAAGCGTTTCCCAAAAGTGCACTCAAGAGCCAGCACGGTGACACCTACTGATTGAACAGTATCCGGGAGCGCACGATGAACTTGAAGATGTACTCTAAAGCTTTCATAGCTTTGTACAGCTGGTCACTGATGCCTGGCTTCTCGGCATTGTCCACGTAGTTCCTTAATACTTTCGTCAGTTTCCTATTCACAGTGGAAACACACATTAATGACAAGTTCACAAAATTGAACATCTCAACTGATGAACAAATACACAAATGAGGTTGTTTTGGTTTTGGTTTTGGTTTCTGCTTATCAGTAAGTATATGCACATTCATTTCCTAATCAGATAAAGTGACTGATAGAAATCTCTCAGAGGAGCACGGTCTGAGTATTTAATAAGCACTTTCTAGGCTTCACAAGTCGTTCTAAGCACATTAAACATAGGCTCCACTTCAATCTTCACAGCACTATAGGGCAGTAGTATCACCTTATCTTACAGGTGAGGAAGCTGAAACTTAGACAGGTAAACGAACTCTACCAATGTTAAACAACAAAATAGAAGGGGTGCTCATCAGAAAACAGCCACAAAATTTTTTTTCAAAAAGGCATTAGTCTGAAAATGTTCTCATACTGGGTGGTGATGGTGACAGTTTCTCAGCAATGTGAATGTACTAAATGCCACTTAATTGTACACTTTAAAATGGTTAGGTAAACTTGAGGTTATGTGTATTTTACCACAATAAAAAAAAAAAAGGCACACAACAGTACTTGTTATTAGAAATCATCTCAGCCACCTCTATTCATTTTAGTTGATCTTTCCAAAACTAGATTGTTTACACTGCAAATAAAAATTTTAGAAGTAATTTTTTCTTTTCTTTTTTTTTTTTGTCTTTTTCCGTGTCCAGCAACGGATCGCAACCCTCAGTGTCGCCCCCGTACCGGACCGGGACCGGCAACGGGATCGCAACCCTCGGCGTTGCTCCCACACTTCGCTCAGCCAGTGAGCGGGAACCGGTCTGTATGTGGGATCCGAACCCTCGGCGGGAGCGCCGCCGCACTTCCCAAGCGGCGCACTATTCAGTGCGCCACCGGGCCGGCCCTAGAAGTAATTTTTCAAATAGGAAACATTTTAAAATTTTTAATGAATGTCCTAAGAATTCCTATATGAAAGAGTAAAAACAATATATGAGAATTATTGGTGGTTCATGAGAAGATTTTTAAATATTTTTTACATTTAATAATAATAGGATCCTCCCAAAATATTTAGTTTTAAAAGCAAAATGACTATACTTCTCTTAGTTTATATACTTATAAATTGTGATCTAAAAACAAGCAACCCCCTTACATAAAAATATTTAAAACATTTTCCATAATAAAGAAGTTTATACAACTTAGATAAAAATTGATCACACTTATTTGTAAATTTCCCATCCCACTACAGAAGTTATTATAGACAGTACAAATAAACTAATGTTGGAAGCTTGACTTAGATTCGTAGCTTCTTAAATTATTTTAAGGGCTTAGTTCAGAGTTTTTATAAAACTTCCTTGGTAAAAACGAAGAAAAAAGCATTAAAATTTTTCTATTTCACTGTAATTCAAATAACCAAAAGTTAAAATGATAACAGATTTATTCGAAGCTTCAGAATATGTGATAAGGTTAATTTAAACAAACATATAAACAAAAGTAATTGATTTCATTAATAAATACATATAAATTAAGATAAGAAGTAAAATGCTTGCTTAGTAGAGACAAGATGTGGGAAAGTCATAACACTGCTGGTTGGATAAATAGGCACAATACTTTTTTGAGTAAACTGGCCATATATATCACAATATCTATCGCAAGTTATAATATTCAAACCCTTTGACAACAGCAATTCCACTTCTAGTAATTTGTCCTACAGAAACAATTGCAAATGAATTAAATGATGTTTACTGCAGCACGGTCTGCACTACTAAGAATGAGGGTAATTCAAAAAGTTCATGGAAGGATTCATAATATATTTTAATTCTATTTTTCTTCAAAGTTTTTGAAACACCCTCATATATAAACAATGCAAAGGTCCATCATTTGAGGACAGGTTGAATAAATTATAAAACATCCCTACAATAGAATACTGTACAGCTGCTAAATACAAGAGATAGGGCCAGAAGGGAAGACTCTATCACTAACATGGAAAAAAAGCCAGTTACACTGTTGAAAGAAAACAGTAACTGCAAAACAGCAGGTCTACTGAGGTCTACTCTGTATTCTATATTCTCTTCCATTGAATTTTTTGTCCATCTTTATGCCAATATCACACAACTTTGATTACTGCAGTTTTATAGTAAGTCTTGAAATCTGGTTCTTTTTCCAAAAAGTTATTTGGGTATTCTAGATATTTTGCCTTTCCACATAAATTTTCAAATTGGCAAGTCAATTTTTCAAAAAAGCATACTAAGATTATGAGATTGTGTTGAAACTATAGAATAAATTTGGGAAAAATGTACATTCAAGCAATGTTTTATTTTTCAACCCACGAACATAGTATATATCTCTATTTATTAAATTTCTCTCAGCAATGGTTTGCAGTTTTCAGTGTAAAAGTCACACTTACCTATCATTAAATGTATTCTTTTGTATATTTGATATTTTTTTGATAACACAGTAAATTGTACTGTACTTTTAATTTCATCTCCCAATTATTTGCATACATACAATTGATTTTTCTTTGTTTTGTTTGGGAATATAGTTTTATTTTTCTTAACTGACAAATGACAATTATATATAATTATGAGGTATACAATGTGATTTTTGATAAATGCTTACATTGTAGAATGATTAAATCAAGCTTTGTTCCTCAACTTTCCAAAGTTTACCTACTAGTTCTAGAAGTTATTTTTTGTTTGGTTAGTTTGGGGCTTATTTAAAATAGACTCTTTAGGGTTTTCATGCATATAATCACGTTGTGAGAAAATATAGCTTTACTTTATCTTTTCAACTGTTTTATCTTGAATTGCTTTTTCTTGCTTTACCACACCACTGCCAGTACAATAATAAACAGGCATCCTTGTTCCAGAACTTAGGGGGAAAGCTTTCAATGTGTCATCATTAAGTATGAAGTTAGCAATAACTTTTTTTAGATGTTCTTTACCAGATTTGAGGAAGTTCCCATCCATTTCTAGTTTGCTGAGAGGTTTTATCATAAATACATGCTGAATTTTCTTCATAGTATACTGAGACTTAAAGCTAAAAGCATTTTAAATTTTAAATAATCAAAAATAACATGATGCTATTTTGTAAAACAAGCAGACATCATCGTCATCATCATAACATTAATAGAGGCATGGAAAATAAATCCAGAGACAGTGGCTATCTCCAATATGTATCATCATAAACAAGGAAATTTCATTTCCCTGCAATATAACATTTTGGTAATAGAAGATTTTTTTTTCTTTTCTTTTTTGCATTGAGCATGTGCTATTTTTAAACTATGAAGGCCGCAATGGGAAGAAGCAATGTTCAATTCTGCCCAAACTGCTACACTTTCTGACACTACTGGCCTATAAAATAGTAACCCTTCATAAAGATGACTCTCAAGCAATGCCTTCTAAATCATAAAAGAACAACTAAGTTAACTTCAATATAGTCTCCGTTTTTAGAGAAACTGTCCAAACACTACCAGCATAAGTGCAACCAGTGAGACAACAACCAACAAGACTATCCATTAACCAAACTTCTCCAGACAATCAATTCTTACGTAATCAACAAGCATTCACTGCAGCTTTTAAATATTCACCATATTCATAAAGGTGCCCCAATAGGGTACTCACAGCAGGTCAAGTTAAGTTGTGAACCAGTATGGGACAGACTTTTCATCCAGATTAATATAGTAAGACATTATAAGAGCAACCTCAACTGTAATTATGGATGATGAGTAACTATTTCATGATTTGATGAATCATAATAAAAGGCTTTTTGGGTGGCTGAGTGGTCGTGCAGTCCTTTCTAACACTGATCAGGTTAGAGAACTCTAGCAAGGAAACCTGGAACTCTCAGATGAGCATTCCTGCGAGAGAGCGCTGAAGAGCCTTTGAGATCCTCCCGCTACAGAATCTGCTGGCCCAGCAGCTAGGGAGCAAAGCTTACCATCTGCTGCTGCTGGTGGGTTTCAGTGCACAGAAGAGCATCTAAAGTCCTAGCATAAAGCCTGCTTTACTTGGTTTAACTTATTTTCCCAAACTTACTAGACCACACACATTTTCTTATTACACCTATTAACAACCCAGGGAATAAACATTCCATAGAATACATGTTCGGAATTCTTCCAACAGATTAATCAAAGTAAAGAACAACAAATAATCATGATTGCAAGGAGAATGACCCAGGACCAGAAAATAAATCTATCTGCCAGGCCATCCTATAAGTGCACCAAGATCAAACCCCTTGGCACTAGCTAGAGAGAGGCAGACCAAACGCAGCATCCGTTATGTCAGAGAGCAGCCCGCAGCAGCTCCATAAGAGGTAACTCCACAGACAGAAAGGAGTCCAGGCATGCTGGTTTTACGGAAGAACAGTCCCCAAAGCTCCCTCCCTTCTCGTTCGGACCAGTACTGACCACTCCCATGTAGTGGAGCTGGAGGCAGAATGTTAAAAAGTCATGCCCGTTGCTAAAATCTTTCCTTTCTTCTCTTGGAGTTCTCCGGGAAGAAAGCCTAAAGATCTCAACATTTATCAAGGAAAGAGACTATATGGACAAGAGTCTGACATAAACCCAGGCCTGCCAAGGCCTTTTAGTGGGTAGGAGGGCAGGAGACCCTCCGCGATACGCTGAGCACGAGATGTCAGCTGGCCCAGAGAAGACCACAAGCACATCATCAATGCAAAGGCCACCTCCCATGATCTGGGTAGAACCATGTGAATCCAAAAGGACTCTGTGGTATCACTGAGCACGAGATGTCAGCTGGCCCAGAGAAGACCACAAGCACATCATCAACGCAAAGGCCACCTCCCATGATCTGGGTAGAACCATGTGAATCCAAAAGGACTCTGTGGTATCTCAAGGTATAAACACTCAGATTCAAATTGTTTAAGAACCACTGGAAGTTGCTAGTTTATCAAACCATGGGGAGAATACTTATTTTCCAAAATAAAAACTTCCTTTTCAGCATATTCCAGAGACTGAAGGAGAGGACACTGATTCTCGTATCTCGGTCCCATCATAATTTAAAGATAAAATGGTACTTTTTGTTTTTCCCATTGAGTAACGTGCCAGAAACCCCCCCACTGTCATTTCTCCACCCGTGAGAATAGAGCATTGCTCTCTCCCAACAGCACAGCACAGGAAGGCCGATGACAACAGGGGGACATAGGATGCAGTGTGGTAAGCTGATCCACTGTTCTCATTTTCTGAAATTAAAGTATGAAGTCCAATCTGTGAAGAGCTATTTGGCCACAGTTCAATCAAGAAGCAGGATTCTGAAAGTGAGCACACTACGAAATCAGGCCATATCTACAGCAGTCTACAGGCCCCTTCCATAAACCCTGCATGGTCATGTTTTGGTTGCTGGAATGAGAAGGTGCTGCCTGACACCCCCCCCCCCCCCCCCCCCCCCGGGGGGGGG